CTCAGGTACGGTTTAGGGTTTAGGGTTTAGGGTTTAGGGTTTAGGGTTTAGGGTTTAGGGTTTGGGGTTTTGGGGGGAGAAAAAGGGAGGGTTTCGACGGGTTTAGGGTTTAGGGGCTCTGCTGGGGTTTTTACACGGGTTCTTACTGAATCTAAGGTTTAGGGTTTAGGGTTTAGGGTTTAGGGTTTAGGGTTTAGGGTTTAGGGTTTAGGGTTTGTGTTCAGGATGTTTGCGTTAGACTTGAAGGACCCCGGGAGGTTTTTTGCTTTATGGGATTTTCTATTGAGAGAGAACAACAACCCCACCACAATAAACACACAAAATATAAATATAAATAAAAATATAAATATAAATATAAATAAAAACGAAAACACAGAGGGTATGGATGCGGATGATTATACAAATATAGATAAAGAAGAAAAAGAGAATAACAACAACCCCACCCCTGATGCTCCTTTTGATCCTTCTCTTTCTCTCTCTAGCGCCCTCAGCACCCTCACCAACACCACCAGCAGCAGCAGCAACAGCAGCAGCAGCAGCAGCAGCAGCAGCAGCAGCAGCAGCAGCAGCAGCAGCAGCGAGAGCAGTTTATGTATACATAAAAACCCTTCTCTGCTGCGTCTAGCTCTGAAGGTTGCAATAGATAGCAACTCAGCTGTACGTACAGTTGAAGTGTTGCGGTTTATGTTTATAAGTAAAGTATACCCCACACCCCAGCTAGCTAGCCAGCTAGCCAGGGTAGGGAGAGAGGTTGTGGCTATACATGAGCTTGTAAATAATTTAATTAAATTGCAGCAGCATGAAGTTTATGAAGAAAAAATAAAAGAACAGCAGCTGCTGCAGTTGCATATAGATACACACGAAATTGGGGTGTATAGGCACCTCGGTAAGCCTAATATAAGATCAAGCACAACAGAAGAACAAAGATATAAATATAAAAATTTTAAATATAAAGATAAATTAAATAAATATAAATGGTTACCAATAGATAAATATATTAAAAATAAACAAAAAGGAGGAGAAATATACGCACAAAAACATGATAGGCCTACACCTAACCTGGTGGAGCCATGAGCTGCCTATACACCCCAACACAGAGAAAAAAAAAAACAGAAAATTCAAATAAAATTAAATTAAAATGTTTATTTTATTTATTTTTATCTTTTATTTTATAAATAAATAAAAAAAAAAAGAAAAAAAAACGAAAAAAAGGCAGAAATATACACAAATACACAAAAAAAACAAACAACAACCTCAGAGCTGCCTATACACCCCAACACACAAACAAATTTATTTTATTTTATTTTATTTTATTTTTATTTTATATTATTTTATTAAATACGAAACAAACCTCTTATTTTATTAATTTT